TAATGTAACTCATGTATGTCCCAGGAATATGCATGTACATCACATGAATGTTCCAGGTATATTCTGGGAATATCATTTTGCTATGTGGGTTCACTCACGTCTCGGGCGTTGTCCAACTTCTCAAACTTCGCCTTATGCTTGGGATCAGCTATCCGGGCCACATGCCTCACTCTTTCCACTGTGATCACTTCGTTGTCTTCTAATGCTTCCACATTAAGGAGCACGGTGAGCATTTCTGGGATGGTTGCAAAACTAATGGATTCCTGAAAGGAGCATTATTTGCTGGGATTTGATCGGCAGTTGTCTGGCTCAACTATTCCTACTTGAGTGCATCCAGTTCCCAGTACTTCACCTCCAAGTTTAGAGCTGGAAAAACAAATCTGCAAGTTCTGCGCTTCGGATCTGTTCAATTGGCCATCGTGCTTGATCTGCAAGGGGCACAACTGAAGGCTGCACTCCAGCCAGTCGTCGATGGTCAGCCATTCCTTGCTATGCATCACCTATGCAAATTTTTAATTAATTTTCATTTATTTATACGCGATTTTTCAATTCACCTGCCGAAGAACTCGCAGACTCCCTTTAGCGTTGTCACCCTTCTCCAGCCAGTCGAAATAGTGCAAAACGCTGCGGAGTTTTGCCTTTTGCGCGTTGCTAGTTTGGATTGTTTTGAAAAAGGAGGCAAAGTTGAAGTTCTGCAGTGTCGGATGACTTTTGTGCGTCCTTTTGGGAAACGTGGAAAAAAACGCGTTGGCCAACAAAGAAGCTGCAAAGCTGTAGTCGAATTCGTTCACATCAGCTGAAACAACAGCGGTATCATCTTTAAATCCTTCTCGAGAGGATCGCAGGCGTACTTTGTTGCTGTAAACTGAAGTGCACTCCTCTTCTAGGCCTCAATTCTTTGATCATCAGCGCCCTTTTCACGATATTCGGCAGCGTCTGGTTGAGGAAATTGCTCCGTTCCTCGCAACTCATTTCCGTCTCCAGGAAATCCAGAAATCCCACGAATTGCTCTGGATCAATGGTATCATCTTCCGGGTCTAAACTCACGCTAAAACATCAGAAATTAGACGAAACGCCTGCCGCTGATTAACCGTCCACTTGCTTGCACATTTCGTAGATTTTCTGCATCGCTTGCACAATTTCGACGGTGTTCTTCGTTTCGGATATTTTCTTCAACTGCTTCTTGACCGAGTCCCACCATGGCAGATCCGATGGGAGCATTACTAGAGCCATTGCGTGCCGTTGTTGTTTCAATCAATTGCTAAATATTCACAAAATACATAGTTATATAGGGTGTTGCTCGTGAAATTATATCTGTGAATATTCCAGATATGTAGGATATTAAGCCTTTATAGTAGCTGAAAGGGCAATTTTTTTGAGTTTGAGTTTGAGTGTTTTATTCGAGAATCGACTACCGAAGTTCTATAAAATCACCGATACACTTTTAGGCGACATTAAGACAAGCAATATTTGCTTTTAAACGTTAACAACATTTAAATGTATATAAAAAAAAAGTTAAATAACATTTAAAAAATATTTCCTTTTGCTCTTAAATATTTGCTATTCATTGATCATTGAAAATTCATATAATATGTTCTAAAGTTTTTCCCACTTATTTAATAACGTTTTGGGTGTTAATTTTGTTATATATAAATACAAACAGTTTTGGTACCATGAAAAAGTATTCTTAATTTATGTGCTTCATGTTAATTAAATATTAGAAACAAATATTTTTGAAATAACATTTAAAAAATATTTCCTTTTGCTCTTAAATATTGGCTATTCATTGATCAATGAAAATTCATATAATATGTTCTAAAGTTT